TGATGGATGAGGTTATTTATCTATCTATGGAATGAACTTTATTATCAAATTTTATACGGCCTTACAGCAAAATTCCATTTGGCCGGTCGACTAAACGAATTCCACAAACGATTTACCGTAGCTCTTTGAACCATGAAACATTTACCAACTTCAGATGGCGACGTTAGTATGACAGCTGTTATTGGAACCATAATATTGTATCTTTGTTAGAGAAGTTACTTTATTGCGCAGTTTTGAATTCAGTTGTTTTGCTACTCAAATACCTATTAGCATTTAATGATGTAAGTAACAGTAAATTGAACGTGTTCTTCAAACTTGCTTTAATATCCATAATAAAATTTAGAAATAGGATTTATAATTACTTCTTCGATTAATTTATAGATGGTTTTATAGGAATTAAAAACTTTTTGGAGTTAAGCATACAAACCATACTATAAAATAAAAGAAACCAAATACAATATACAAACTTTGAAAATTTATGGCCATATTTATTTTATTATGTACTATAATATACATCATAATAGAGACGCATATGTGACTTAAACTGTGTGTATGTGTATGTATGTGTACACATAGCTTATATCACTTATTTTACGAAAACGAATCTAATGATAAACAATAGCGGTCTAGACTACACCTTGCGCCCAAAATTCTACCAACATCTATACCAATAAAATACGAAAAATAACCTTTTTTCGATAGTCGGGTAAAAACATCAATATGTAACATCACAATGATTCTTCCATCGTAAAACTGGTCTCAGTTTTTGGTCACAGAATGTGCGTAGAAAAGGGACCAAACCGGCGTTTCGTTTTACCTTCATGTCATAAAACACCAAAATAACAGCGGTGCAGAATGTTACAATCAAGGTTCATTGTGATACAGACCTTTTTTGTTAGCGAAACATTTGTTTTTGTATTACGCAGGTGTCTGAGTCTGTGAAATCCGTGCGTGGAACTAGCGGCCATACAAATATTTCAATTTTGTCATATAATATAATAGATATCACAATATGGAAAATATATTTTTTTCTTGTTTTATACTACTGAGGTAACAAACAAGCATACAACCCACCTGATGGTAAGCAGTTACCGTAACCTATGAACGCCTGAAATACCAGAGGTAATACGCGCGCGCTACAAACTCTGAAGAAACCTCTTTACCCCCCTTTCGAATAACTCCATGCTGTAGTCTTTCGGAAATACATGTATTGGTATGTCAGTGTCCTTTTATAAACAGAAATCGGTCAGTCTATTTTAATAGAATTTAATTAAAATATAAACAAACGAATTATTGACCAGAGGGAGAGAAACTTTGTACAAAAGTCGTTTGCTTGGGCACCTCTGTCCCCTTCGTGTTCCTACCGTGAAACAGTTGTGTTTGCATGGCAACTGTGTTTCAGTTTGAAGGGTAAGATTTGACAGTGAATTTACAGGGTATAGAGGAATAACACCTGAGTCCTCAGGAATGGCAACGTATGGGGAGTATCACGGGCGAAACTCTGTTATGTCCATGGTATTGCTCATGTCTATAGGCGGCGGTTACCACTTTCTATCAGGTGGACCGTCAGCTTGCTTGCCACTCTAAGTTGTATAACAAAACCTGATCAAAGACCAATCTGCTGATGTACAGATATCGGTAATTTCAACAATATTTGCTTACATTTTCAATTAGTTTTATTGAAACAGACTTGTTAAAGTAAATTCACTTTGTTGAACATTATTAAACCACTTCCAAAAAGAGGTCTAAATTTGGCGTTATTTTTTATGTGTATGTCACATAATATCTTTGCCAATTCTGAATCAATTTTGATAATTCTTTGAAATTGATAGGTTGTCGATCTCCAGCGGCGTCTTGACACCTTGCTAATTTTATCGCAATTGAAGTTGTTATGTGTTATTTTTAGAATAAATATAAGAATAATTTTTAGCTTAAATATGTTTTAATATTATATGCTTATGATTTAAGTTTATATTATCATAGTATATATTTTTCTTTGTGTACCTTTAAATTCTTTATACCAAAGACCTAAGTAAGCAACAAGATACCTTATTCACAACGTTTTTAAATAACTAATAAATCTTGAATAACTAATGCTTATCTGTGTTTTCGTCTGAGTTACCGGAATATATTCACTAATCAGGATGAAAAGTAGCCTGCATCCTTCTCTATCCCATATCGTATGTTTATACCAAATTTCATAACAATTGATTAAGCCATCAAGGCACTAAGATGCAACAAACAAACTCTGTTACACTTTTATAATATTAGTAAAAATAAAGATTAGCATTATAATGTTGTATTTTAAATCATCTATAAATTGTTTTATATACTATATCAATCTATTTATTTATTATATCTTATAGTTAAGCCTTAATCTAATCGCTCTTATTAAGTCTACCTCAATCAGTGTAGTTCACCGAAAAAGCTAAAGAATCCATCATCATGATAATAAGATAGCAAACGTGGTTTTCTTAACTTAGAATCCCTGTGGAATAATCGTTTATAAAAGTTCCCTTTGTGGATACGTTCGATCAGTACTCTGAGGAGTAAATTGATAATTAAATGGTTATTGGGGCCTTCGAAAAAGGTTGATTCTCGAATGACAATAGACTATTAGGACACTAATCAGTGGTTTTTATCTTAAGTTCTTTTGTTAAAGACAAAGAGTCGAGAATCGGACGAATTTTCCATCATTAGAAAATAGGAGGACAGTGTTTTTTGTTAGAATCAGTTAAAAGGTATATAACATTGTTTACTTCTAACGTTTTTCGACTATGGATATTTATGGCGGGTACTTAAATTGGAACCCTTTTTTTTATTTAAAAGAAATAACGCCTATGTTACATTTAATGGCGTTAAAAAAAGTAATTGGCGATATCAGTAACATACAACAATTCTTTGTATCTGTCGTGGTGAGATCTTAAAATTGATCATTTCTTGAAATGGTCGTATTTCATGAAATGGAAAATATCCGTTGCTAACATCATGATGGGGTCTGGCAAGATTGATGAATAATCAACATTTGACAGTATGACATATAAATATTAACTGTCTACTACTGGACATAAACCTCTCCCCCATACGGGGAAATTGACAATAGCAGCCACGCTTGGCAAGCAGGTTGCAATCGTAGTTAGGCTTTGGTAATGTTTTAGGAGGCATTATATCTGCCATCCCTCGACCATTTAGTTCTCTTAGTCACCTCTTACGAAGCCAGAATAAGAAGTAGCCCATTCTATTTTCATCTTTAGCAATACAGTTTTTACCCCTGAGCACACATATACATATATATATATATATATATTAATGTATCCAATGTAAATTATCTACAATAAAGATTTTACAATATATTACAACTATTTCTTAAAATGGTCGGTTCCATTATGAAGTGATCAATTCTAAGATCTAGCCACGATAGATACAAAGAATTATTGTATTTTACTGATGTCCCCAATCACTTTTTCTAACGACTAGGGTTTATTTTCTTGATGTATTTAAAAATCTCTGTAGAAATGCTTCTTTCACCATGTCTCTAGGTACATATATACAAAATATATTTATACATTTTACGTAACTTAAGGACAGCTTCTGGCTATTTCTGCGACAGAATAGGACGTGAAATCTTTATATTTAAGGTCATTCCGCTCCAATCTTAAAAATATACCATTCAGATTTTAAATTTAAAAGTATTTATTACCTTTTAAATAGAAAGTATATATATATATATATATATATATATATATATATATATATATATATATATATATATATATATATATATATATATATATATATATATATATATATTCAATAAAGTTATATCAAAACAAGTCGTTAAACCAAATACAGGATCAAAATAACTAAAAACCCGCACGTTTCACAAGGAAAACCTTTATTCAGTAAAGGTTTAACAACCGATATAGTTCCTAGCATGTAACTCGTGCGAAGTTAATGATACGCAGAAGCAAAATATCGTCTGCGCATCATTAACTTCGCTTCAGTTACGTGCCGGGAACCTATAAAAAAGTTATAATCTTTCCTTATTTTCATAAACGTTTTTTCAATGCAATAATTTGGTTATCAAAACGTTAGGCACTATTACAATACTTTTCTTTCTTTTGCATTTTAATTATTGGTCTTAGAACAATGCATGTTAGTAAATAAATAAGATACTCAAGACTGTAATTCCTTATATGGTGGTCAGAGATATATAATATAATTTAAAAAAAGTATAATAATACAGATTAACGAGAACAACAGCACTTTAAAAAGCGACACTGTATAAATGTTATATAGGTATTTTTTATGCAAGTAGGATTAAATATATAATTTAGAAGTATTTTCTATAATTGATTCTCTTTTTTATAATCCATATTGTCTGCCACAGTTAGGCAAAAGTCTCCCATTTACATCTCTACATATCTTTATTTAGAACTTGATCAGGTCATGTCTCTTTTACAAAAAGATTTACCAGAGGAAGACTCTGTACAAGTATCGACTTATGTGTCAACCTCAAAGCAGTTATTTTTTTAATGCTATGTTTCTGTTAAAGATACGTCAGGAAAACTACAGAGTACCAAAGCATAACATTTTAGTTGTCTAAAATACGAAGGCATGGAAAATATGAATGGCAGTCAATTTACAGGGTACAGAATAATAATACCTGAGTCCTCAGGAATGGTAACGCATGGGCGGTATCATGGGCGATACAGTGTACTCTGTTATGTCCATGCTACTGCTCATGTCTATAGACGACGGTTACCACTTTCCATGAGGTGGGCCGTTAACTTGTTTGCCATTCTAATTATATAAAAAAAAATGCATGATGGACATTGTTATAGTGTATTATATTATACCTATAGTTGTAAGATATCTATTAGCCACGATTGCCACTTAGTAACTGCGTTTGTCGATCGCTAACTTGTTTGCCCTTATTTTAGAATTTATAATAAGATAAAAAATAGGCCCAAGTGTACATATTATTCATTTTCCCACAGGTACCATGTGGCGAGTAAGGCCACTGGTGATGCGGCTCGCGGCCGTATCACTGGTGGCACTCGTGCTCGCCGACTCCGGCACTGGCAGCGACACGTCCGTGGTGGCGCAACTGCCAGCGCGCAGCACCACGGTTCGGACCACGCCGATGCCGCGACGGCCGGAGCGCCGCCAGCGGAACCGGCGCCGCACCACCACAACCACCACCACCATAGACCCGGAAGAAGAAGACGACCTCGACTTGACCACACCGATGACAACCACTACAATCGATCCCCGCTCGTTTGATCACAGTGAGTACTATTCGCTTTGAATATATTGTTTGTGTTAACCACAAGAACCAAAGCCGCAGTAACGGTATTTGCTGCGATCAATTTTGAAACCGCAACTTTTTACTAAATAGCTCGATAAACCACGCATTATTGGAGTAAGCGACGAAAAAATAAAACAGCCTTAAACTGTCCACTGCTGAACATAAGCCTCCCCGTTGGGAGATTTTACCAGTAGTTGCATGCTGATATATGTATCGACGTGTAAAACTCGAATGTTTAAAATCTTAACCGTTTACAAAGCTAAAAGAGAAACTAAAAGCTTAATTCACTAATAGCCAAACCGCCAATTTTACCACCAATAAGTAGCAATGACAATGGATCGTATTACAATACGCCATCTATTTTATTTACAGATATAGTAGAATTAAATAGATATAATCGCAATTACAGGATTTTTGCTCTAGGCAAATTTCAACAAGCACTTTCAGTACAATGTGAGTATAAAAATATATACAGAGTTAACAAGAGCAACGAGGCCAAAAATATTTTTGAAATTATTTTGTAAGGAAGGATTTTCGCTCTTGTAACAACTTTTTTTTTAAAAAAAACACGTTACACATTAAAAAAAGTAACGGAAAAAATATTCTGAATGCACCAAGAGCATATATAGGGATTTATTTATACATTTCATCAGATTGTTAAGAAACTTAAAAAGGAGAGAGTGGTTGTGATGAGAAAACAATAAACATGAATAAAAAGACTACTGTTGTGTCATTTACATAACAAATATACTTCATGTGCCCATTTAGTCATGCCGGCTTTTTTTTTTCTATTATAATAATATCATTTTCTTGTAACATCTTAACAAATATTAAGCCTTTGTACCGTCAAATAGTTTAGTAATGGCACATTTTCTTTTCGTACAGACTGAGATACTAATTGCATCATCTATCTTCATCTATGTCTGTGGTTTTACTTGTCACCAGTCTATCTTATTGCAGTTGCAACTCCTCCCTATATGGAGACGATTAATCGTAAACCACCTTTGGGTGACAAAGAAAATGAAAATTCATGGAATAGTTTTACCACGCGGTACGTACTTTTACTGTATTAACAATAGACGTAGTATGACATACTCACGTACTGACAGATTTCACAATCACATCCTCTTCAAATCTGCTTAGAAATTATATTTTTTTATGTAACTTAGAATGGCAAATTATCATGGGAATTGCTCTGAAGAATTGTTCGGATAGATACCTGCTGCTGATTTTCACCATCGTACAACCCGCCTTAAACTAAAATTTCATCCCAACCATCTGGACGAGTGGCGGTCCTCCACCATGCGTTTTTCAAGGCACTTTCTCCCACGCACAACCACTGTTTGGAATCAACTTCCAGCAGTAGTATTTCCGAACTGATAAGACAACATAACCTTCAAGAAAAGAGCAAATTCCTTTTTAAATGGCCGGCAGCACACTTGCAATGCCGTTGGTGTTGTGGGTGACCATGGGGTAAGCTTACTTTACCATTAGGTAAGTCGCATGCTCGTTTGCCCCCTGTGTTGTAAAAAAAGAAAAGCTAACGGCCCACCTGATGAAAAGTCGTAACTGTTGCCTATAGACATGAGCAGTACCATGGACATAATAGAGTATACTGTTTTGCCCGCATAACGCAAGGTTGTCGGTTCATCGAACTTCGAAAACTTCAGCTTGCTTCCCATTTAGGCTATGTCGGTGACTTTAGTTCTTTTACGGATATCTTCGTTTTAGATTCTGTCACGCAAATAAACTTCGAGCGTAGCCTTCTCCATAGCTCGATGAGTAAATTGAAGCTTTGATATATGGATAACCGAGTAATATAGATATATATCAACAATCTGTAGGTATATACATAGGATTATATATCAATCAAATCTGTAGGTGGCGATCGCTATTTTCCATCTAATAAGTCATTGACTTATTTACCAAAAAGTAAGATTTAGTTGCATAAAAAAAATACTTCTCTATATTTTTGGTTTATAGAATACCTTGCAATCTTAGATAGTCCTAATCCACCTGATAATACCGTCTTATTGTGAGGTAAATCATGATGTAATTAAGCGCTCGTTAACTTGCACGTGGCTGCCTCATTAACAGATAACTCCCAAGTAAAAAATATATATATATAACAAAGAATACGATTCAGTATATATTATGTTTTCTGAGCGACATAAAACAATGAAATTCTCAATTCATTCAACTGTGGAGTAATTTGCTAATTTCGAAATTATTTTGTAAATTCTTTTTAGGTTTAAAAGTGTAAATATATTACATTTATTAGCTTATATTGGTTTACTCCCGCTTTGATACCAGATAGTTGTTTTAATGCGTAACAAAATTTTTAATTGTTATACTACTGAAAATAAACTAACATCACTTTAGTTGAATAGCAACTAAAGTGATATTCATTACATATAGACGTAAAAATGCAGTAGAATACAAAGAAAATTGCTTCGACTTTATTGTATTTCAAACTCGTTCACATTCTAGCAAAACTATGCATACACTAAAGTTTCTAGTTCATGTTTCCTGATGGATAGTTAGGGAGTGATTATTACGGTCTAGTAACCTAGACCACCCCGTCTCATCGAAGATTACCTTATCTATTCTCATCTAGGTTCATTGTACTATGTAGTTGATAAATCAAAGTGATTGACGAATTTTATTAAAGTAAACACTATTATACGAGCGCATATTCATGTTTACTTATTATATATATATCAAAATAAAAACTTGTCAAAAACTACTAGCATTACTTTGAAGCAGACAATATATAATGCTAATTAAAAAATATAATTTCAACATATAACACGCCTATTACTTATATTTATTAATTGATAATCTTGTACATTTACCATCTAAAATAACTGAAAATTCTATTAGTAAAGTCTGATAAATTTCATTTAGTTGCAAGCACAACAGGGGCCACCCTCTTATTCATAAAAACGTTAAACCTCTCATAAACTTATATTAATTATTGAACTGTTTTGTCTCTTTCGTTTTTAGTAAAATTTCCAGTTTAAAAGAAAGTAACAAAACGATGTTATAGTTAAAATACACTTGTAGAACGGTTTATAAATAAGGGGGTTATCGTTTAATTAGCGTTTTATACGGGAACAACAACAGATATCGCCGTTCATCTGGCATATGACAAGTGTCAACTTGACACAATCCGTCAATTTGAGGATAGAGATCGTATTTACATTAATCTACAAATCGATGTCGATTCGGTACCATCGCCGGTGCAATTGTAACGACTACAAAATGCTTATTAATAGAATGCCTTATTTTTTTCTAATTTATACTATTTTATCAACATTATGATGTTTAAGTAGCCTCTGAACCCAAGTTTAGACAGATTTTAATATTTGGTTTGCACATAAATATCGATAAATGTATTGAACACTAAGTTAATTACTAAGCACAGTACTAGAAAAATATTGCATTACTTTTAAAGTTTATTTAAAAATAGAATCTAGAATAAGATTATAAATTTATCAGTATATTCTTTGTTTTATAAATTTATATTATTAACTAATAGAACAACTTTAAGTACACTTTTACAGAAATGGCAGCCATTTTGGAAAACTTTACAGATGACCTTCTCTGAAAGTCGAGAGTGAAGCAATAAAAATGCAACTTCAATATTATGACTTGTACTGCGTAACGTCCGCAGTCATAAAGCAGCTATACACACGTGGATATCTAACCGAGCAGGAATCAAATAAATAGGATTTGACACTACAAAGTGAGCACTCGAACAAAACTGCCTTCAAGTCGTGCGAGCGATCCCATAGCGTCGCATTGTCGTACCATTTTCATTTTAAGGCGCATAGTTTGCCAAGGGGCCCCTCAAGGAATGCTAGGAGCCAGACGTGAGGGCATTCAAATTGTTTGTCGCCAAGTAACGGACGAACGTAATTTGAGAAAGTAACTCTCCGGTCATCGGCGGAATTCGCTGAGTTAGCGCGGAATGCGACAGTGTCGCTCGTGAGACGGAGTTTTAATTTCACTGAATTTTCATTATACATATAATACATACATTTTAGGCTCTATATTTCTTTACATATTATTTCTTTACATATTATCTTTGTTGCTTATTCATCTAGAAAAGAAATTAAAAATTCATGTTTAAAACTTCAAAAAAATAGTAAGCACCTGTAAAATATATTAAAATAAAATAGAATAATATATTGTAAGTTCCATTAAATCTTTTTTAATACGACACTTCATCATTTACCCTAAGTACAGTTAAAATTTATGGCCATGCTAATAATTTAAGTATAATCTGGAAATAATACTCCAAAATAATTTAATTATTACATACTTCTAGAGCAAACAGACACGAAATATATATATAAACAAAATTATTATATTAGATAAAAAAAACCTTCCCATTAGCTGTAATAATCCGTCTTAAAAGCTAATCGCTTTATCGTTTGGAAAGTTGGCAAAATAGTGTACTTAAGCCAAACGGAGATTATTTCTCAAAGTCCGGCTGTAACTCTTCAAGATGGCAAACTCAAGTCAAAACGTACCGAAATAAACTTATAGAATATGGATAAGAATTTTAACCAACTTCTTTACTTATTGTTTACGAAAAGTTAATGTGATCACCAAACCAAAGGAGATAAAAGTATAAAGAAAAAATGAAAAATCGCTTTTCACGCCGGCCCATCTATCTAATAAACCTAATATTGGTTCGATACGCGCTCAAGAGGCGTGAAATGACGCCCCACTCGCCGCCTTGTAGGGGGGCTACACTCACCACTTAATGTTGACCCCTGTTCTTCTTTTAAAGCTGTAAGAAAAAAACGCTTCACGATACTGAGGGTAACAACCTTAGGGCTCTCATTAATTGGTTAACGACAGTGCACCCCGTCTCGTGGTATGTAATTAAGAACTGATAAGGTGGAAACATTCCCTTTGGTAGATAATATATTATGTAATTGCAATTATCTTCTATTACTAACCGGTTAA